CCCCCCCCCCCCCCCCCCCAAACCTCTCCTAGTGCTGCTGCCACCCACCCTAAGCACAGCCCAGCATAGCCCCCTGCCCGGAAGAGGTTGGTGCAGCCCTGGCCTCAGCCTGCCCCACCCATGTACTCCCAGACGAGCAGTGGGAGCCACCAGATGAGCTTCGCACAGCTCCAGGAGCCACCCCCGCCCCTTCTTGCTCCCACCAGACAAGCCACAGCTCTGTCCCATGCCCCACCCTGCCCTGGCTAGTCAGCACTTGACCCAGCCCCACTCCTCCCTCACCGCAGGGGCCTTCATCTGCCCCCCATGCCCCTTCCCTTCCCTTCCACCACAACAGATTTACTGGCTGCACACAGCTTTCCAAGCTGCTGGGCTGCATATCAGAAATTGGATTGGTATCGATCGATATGCCTCCTCAAAAATTGGCTATTGGTATCAGCCCCAAAAAATCTCCATCAGTGCACTCCTAGCTATAACCACACTAAACTCTAATAGAAAGAAGCCTGGATGGCATAAAAATGGTGTAGTCTCCCTCATTACATTGTCAACTATGGAGACAGGTGTTTTACAAAGCAGCCTTGTGAATATGTACATAGTGTCATAACATTCTGGAAAAGTTTAGTTCCTGCCTCAATTTAGTTTTTTACTTTAGTTGTCTGGCTTGCTACGTGGGGGTCAAAATGCAGCAGAAGAACTAACTGTTCTTATAATGCTGACAGAAATAGTGACTGGGAAAAAAACTGGACTGAGTCTGAGAGAAACATTCCCTCCTGTATCTGTATTCAAATCTGTTTTTAACTCTCAGTTCTTTTTAGATGTTTTTAGTTTAGCATTCCAGGAAAGTCCAACTTCATCCAAATCTAAAAACCATGTTATACTGTTGCAGAATCATGAATTGGTTAGAATTCAAGTTACTGTGGACAGGGGCCATTTTTTCTGAGTGATCAGTTCTCATGTCCTAATCATGATGGCCAGCAAGCAACGTGGAATGAAATCATTCCTGCAAAAGGAAGCCTAATGTCTGTTGTCAGGATGATGGTAGTACTTCTAGTGCACCTGAGTTTTACACGTTCAGGGCAAGAGATAACTTTAGTCAGCTTTCTAATCGGGGAACAGTTAAATCATGAGAAGTTTGTATCTCTCTAACTGCAAGGTTTTGTCCACCGTTTCTCTCAAAAGGAGGTATCCAGAAGCCAATATGCCTTCTCCCAGAGGTGACTTTCCAGTGACTACTAGGAATGTAAACAGCGTTTAAAAAATTATCCTTTTGACCTCCTCTAATTACATTGGTTAAATGGTTAACAGATAGCACGTACAGTACAGTCGCATCTTATGCGGGGGTTACATTCTGAAGACAGCGCGTACAGTTGAAATCACATACAGTTGAAATCTCTGGGCTTTGGCGCCGAGCAGCCGTCACGCTGCAGGGCCCGGACAAGGCGGGCACGGCACTGCACAACCCATGCGTGCAGTGCAACAGCTGTGCCTTCTGCATGCACTCCTTGCCCCTCTCATCCTCCTCTGCCTTGTCCTGCGTCAGCCCTCCAGCCATGCAGGCGCGTGCAGGCAGTACCATGCGGCGCCGCACTACACGCTGTGACCCTGTTGGCACCTGGTGGCCATCCCCAGCAGCCGAGCATGTATAGTTGAAATCGTGTAAGTTAAATACGTGTAAGATGCGACTGTACTGTACATAGTTTAGTGGCTTCTGGCAGGAATGGCCCAAGCCCTGGCCCCAGCTCCTGATGTCTTCACTGTGCCCCCAGTGCTGTCTGAATCCCAGGCTGCTGGCAGGGAGCCACAGGCAGGGAGTGGCAGATGCAGCTGAGCCATTAGGAGGTGCTGTCGAGCTCTGAAGCCTTGGCTTTCCCTGGCCCCCATGGGCTGGGGCTGCAACAGAGCTGGGCCTGCGAACCTCTCCTGTGCTTGGATCCCACTGTCACAGGAAGGAAGGGAAGGAGGTACTGTTCCTGGCCCCTCCCTGACAGGGTTCAGGCTGGGTGGGCCTTCTTGCTGCAGCAGCACATCTCCCAGCCCCTCGGTGGGTCTGCCTGGCCTTTTTCAGCAGCGGTACCCAGGCAGGGCTATAGGTGATGGCCTGAGGAGGAGACGAGACATCTGAAGCAAGCAGTTCCAGGTCTAAGGGGTTACCAACAGTCCCTCACATAGGAAGTGTGGCCGCAAGCCGTTCTTCAGGGACAATGGCTCAGCAGCTGCAGCCTGGGAAGCTACTGTTGCAGCCCTAATGTCCCCCCTGGTATCCCTGGTGCACCGTTGCCCCTGAGGAATGCCCTAGGGCCACACTCACCGCATGAGGGGCCAGCAGCAATCCCTCAGACTAGGGGTGGGCAAAACAGGGCCCATGGGCTGGATTCAGCCCGCGAGGCCATTCTATCTGGCCCATGGGGCCCCTAAAAAAAATTTGGAAAATCAATATTTCTCTGCCCTTAGTTCCTGTCAAAAATGACAGGAACCAAGGGCAGTAGGACCCAGGGGAAGCCCAGTGGGCTGCAACAACAGTGCTGACTGTCCCCCGGCTTCGCCCCCCAGCTGGAAGCTGCAGCTGAGGTTTCTGGGCTGGGAACATATGGCTGCCTGGGTGAGGGAAGTTCAGGTAAGTGTGGGGGGTGGGCCCTGAGCAAGGAAGGAGCGCGGCGGGGAAGGGTAAGCCCCTTCCTGCCCCATGCCCGGTGCCCTGCACTGCAGCTGCTTGCAGCTCGTGTGGGGCTGCCTGTGCCTGTTTCAGACAGCCCCATGCGGGTTGCGAGTGCCTGCAGCATGGGGCACCGGGTGTGGGGCAGGGGAAGAGCTGCTTTCCCCCTGCGCTCAGCTTTCCCCTGGGCTCCTTCCCTGCGCAGAGAAAAGCAGCCCCTTGCCTGCCCCATGCCTGGCGCCCTGCACTGCAGGCTGTCT